TTGTACAGAATATATACAATATAGTTCAAAACATTTGTAATTTTTTTTTTTCAACTGGAAAGCATTTGTAAATTGGAGAACACCGATTTGTAGGATAAGGACCACTTTTCGAATCCTCTATCCATTGCATAGTAGACCTCCCCTCCTAATTGAATTCCAAGAATCTCGCCCAATTGAAAGCAATATAATCACCAGTTAAAGCAGCTAGATGTAGAGGGGTTGCAGATTGCAAATAAGAACGTTGTAAGCCTTGAAATCCAATGCCAAATTACTCTCTCAAAATTTCACCATTACACCAGATGTAGAAATCCTTTCCAATATTGACACAAAAAATGTCCTACAAACCAGGCTACTTTCTTTGCTGGCATAAAGTTAAGATCTCTTTTATCATTTGTAATTAATATCAAAAAAATCTGAAAGCGTAAACATAAAAACTCAAAATCTTACTCACATGCTCATTTCCAATCACAGAAGTTCACTATAAGACAAAATTGCATAGAAATTTCAAATGTTATATTAATGGAGTCTAGAATAGCAGAAAAAATGTGTATGTTAAGAAAAGGATACCCAAGTTGAAGAAGCAAATGATATCCATGGTGCTAATTCAGTAATGTTTCACCTGAGCAAACATAGAAAATAAAAACTGAAAAATATGAATCTAAATCCCAGCAAACATAAGGGTTTGAAATCAGACCAACATCCCACACCCTAGAAAGATAAATCATAACTTGTTCTTTATGTTTCTATCAATAAATCTCAATTTTAGTTAGTCCTTCACTGAGACCATTATTTTATAACCCATTAAGTTTGACGATCAAGAACCACTACACAAGTTCATTTGCTCAACAAAATATGCATCTTGCAAATGGAAAAGCAATAATGCAATGTCAAGTAATTAAAGCAACACAAAAGCATCAAATTTAACTGCGAAAAATATTCAAGAACAATAGCAAAACCTTATAAACCAACACAACACCTGAATACTTCTTTTAGTCAAAACAAGGAAAGGAATTTCTATGACTATGCTGTAATGTTTTCATCATCGCTCAAAATGAGGCAGCAAGTCAATCAAACATAGCTGCCATTTCATCTACATCATAAATAAACAAAAGTTCCAAACATCTTCAAAATATTTCAACGTGTGGGTGCATATATAGGTTCACAATAGCATTATTCTGACTAAATTTATAAAACAATAGCCTTATTCTGCTAAAAAAGTCACTACTCCAAATACAACCACACAAACAACAAAATTAAACTATTGCAAGAGTCTGGCATAGGCAATAAGACAAACACTTGGTAGTTATAGAAGAAAACTATCAGTAGTTGCAGTTAGTTAAATTCAAATCAAGTTAAATTACATATAATGTGATGATATACTCTTCCTCTTTTTCAACAAAGAATGATTTGTTTTTCTCAAGTTCCTGTTCCAGCAACCTGATGAACACAATTTCCTCTTCCGTCATATCCACCTCAACTTCGTGATAGAAACTCAATCATGAAGTCCAAAATATAAATCTCGAGACCATAGGACACAACGTAGAACACTTGTACAATTTAGACCCACAATAAGTAAATCAAAGCTACTGTTAATGTTGCGAGCCACCTATGCAACCTATGAGGTGTAGACTGATCCAAATTGTAATGAAATGCTTGTGAAACTTGTTCCTCCATTATTCTAGATTTTATCCTCGAAAAATTCCCATAAAATTTTACAAAAATACCACATCAGAAACAAATCTTTAATTCATAAGCCCCAATTGACCCAAATTTGGGTGTGGGTGTTATAGGAGCAAAAAGAGGTGGAGATATAGAGAAAGGGGGGAAACATGCCTGGTGTTTTGGTGGCGAGATCCAGTAGGTCTTATATGGTGGTGGCTGAACGCATGAAGAGAGATGCGAGAAAAGAGAGATATGAGGAGAGGGATGAAGTCGTTATAGGAGACGGAGATGAGAGAAGGAGATAAGATGAGGAAGAAAGATTTGGGAAAAGTTAAAATAATTGACGTTGTTGGGCGAGAAAACAAGATTCGATATTCATCGTAGATCGTCGGATTAGTGTTTATGAGATGATTTAAACCGTCTTTTATGTTAGTATTACGTTGTCTGTTAGATATGTTTATGTTTTGTCTCAAAACGATTTGAACCTCTCTTTATCTCCAAAATTCAAACTCAACTCTATTTTATTATATAGATATACTAGTCATTGCCCGTGTCTGAAGGCACTACGTTACTTATAAAATTTTAACACACAAAGATATAATTTTTGAATAATTTTAACACACAGCGATTAGATTGGTTTTAAACATTTTTTTGTTGGTGCAATTGATATCTTATTTTTTTTATATTGGTCGCTTATTTTTTTTTAATTGCTGATTAACTTGGACTTTGAATTTTTGTTTAATTTTCTGAGAACTATAGATTTTCATACAGTAGTGATTTATTTTTAGTATAAATAATAACTTGATGATTTTATTTATAGATTATAAAGACAATGTAGACTTCATTGATTGATAATAAGTAAGAAGTAAATATCAACCATCGGTACTAAGATGCGTAATAAGAATATCTACTTATGATGTACTCTAGGTATGAATCAGTTTGTAATAAGAATGATGAAAAATTATATAAAATAATTTTTAATGAAATATTATATCAAAGGTTTTTAAAAAATCGATATACTAAATAACTTACATGTCCAAAAATGGTGACATTGTTTATTTGAGTACTGATTTTTGTCTTGTAGTGACTGTGTGTATGCGGTTATTGGGGTCAAAAGTTAAACTGTCAAACTTTAACAAAGAAGCAATAAACTTAGAGATATTATATATTTTATGTGTGTTTAATAGAAATATTTTTAATTTTATGCAAAATTTTATCGTAAAATTAGAAATTAAACAAAATCAACCTAAATAAAGGTACACTTTTAACATATAACATTTAGATCATTTAATTTAAAATGAATTCAATTTAAGTTGTTATTGTGATTTTTCAAATTTAAGATAGAAACGTATGAGAGATAAAAATATAGAGTCTTATGATAAGAGGCTTCTTCATGGGCGGGAAAAAAAAATTCAGGACTAATTGTAGACCATTAGATCAAAATTTTTGAGATGATCTGAAATGTCTTTTATGTTGGGATTATGTTGTTTGTTGGATGTGTTTATGTTTTGTCTCAAAACGATCGGGACCTCTCTTTGTCTTTTGGATTCAAATTTTGTTCTACTTTAATATATAGATATACTAGTTATTACATGTGCCTAATGACACATAGTAATAAAAAATGGTAAATAATAAACATATTTATATTTATATTTAAAATCAAATCACAAATATAAAGAAGAGATAAAAGAATTTAAATATCGATTTATAGTGGAGGTGAGAGATGGTGAGCGATAGTGGTGGTAATAAGAGACGACGATGGTTTTGGTGACGACAGCGATGGTGGTGGTGGCGGCGGTGATGGTGGTAGTGGGGGTGGCGGCGATGATGGTGGAGGCGATGGCGGTGGTGGCGACAATGACGGTGGTGGTGGTGGCGGCGACGGTGGCAATGACAGGTGGTGGTGGTGGTGATAAATATAGTAGTGGGGCGGTTTCAAACACTATTTGTTTTTAAAGTATTTATAAGAAATAATTTCTAAAAGTACTTTTAAAAAGTCACTCTAAACACACCCTTAGGGGCCTATTTTTCAAATTAAATTTAGGATGTTAATATTAACCGTTAGATTAACTTTAAAGTAAAATTTAAAACGATCTCAACTGCGAATAGCAAAAGTCATTTTGTTTATCTTTTGAAATTTGAATTGTAAGCTACTTTATTATATAGATATACTAGTTATTGCCCGTGCCTGAAGACACTATGTTATTTATAAAATTTTAATACACAGTGATAGGATGTTTGAATAATTTCAACACATAGCGATTATATTAGTTTTGAACATTTTTTGTTGGTGCAATTGGTATCTTATTTTTTTTGTAGTGGTCACCTATTTTTTTTAATTGCTGATTAGCTTGGGTTTTGGATTTTTTATTTTATTTTCTGATAACTATAGGTTTTCATACAGTGGTGATTTATTTTTGATATGAATAATAAATTGATGATTTTATTTATAGATTATACAGACAATTTAAACTTCATTGATCGATAAAAAGTAAGAAGTAAACATCAACCACCGGTACTAAAATGCGTGATAAGAAAATCTACTTACGTTGTACTCTAAATATGAATTAGTTTATAATAAGAAGGATAAAAAATTATATAATAAGTATATAATGATTTTTAATGAAATATTATATCAAAGGTTTTGAAAAAATTGATATACCAAATAACTTACATGTCTAAAAATTGTGACATTGTCCATTTGGGTACTAGTTTTTGTGTTGTAGTGATGGTGTGTATGAGATTATTGTGGTCAAATGTAAACTGGCAAACCTTGACAAAAGAAGTACTAAATTTAGAGATATTATATATTTTATGTGTGTTTAATAGAAATATTTTTAATTTTATGCATAATTTTATCGTAAAATTAGAAATTAAGCAAAATCAACTTAAATCAAGATACAAATAATACACTTTTAACATATAACATTTAACAACAATCAGTTAATGACAAATATATCCACAATTAAACCACACGAACATTAAAAATTAAAAACAACAAATTATTGTTAAAGCATACACTACTAAACCAACACGAATTTGCTCCCATGACCCAATTCCTTGGTGTGTCAAGGAGATTGAGGGTACGAGTGAGCTCTTTATTCAAGCAAAGATTTCTTGTTCTACACGGTGAAAGCTCCCTATCTCCATACTCTGCGAAATTTCTCTTCTCTCCTTTGACAGCAAAATCCTTCTTCTTACCTAGGGTTCCACTCTTAGGCCTTTCCTTTAAAAATTGGTATACCCACACATGCCTTTGGTTACTTGATTACTCCCATTCCATCTTCTTTACCCAGAACTTTAGGTAATTTCCTTACATCCCTTCATCCATGCGAACAATGGAGACTAGGGGAAAAACCTCAAAGGCAAGTTCCATGGAGGAAATCGTGATGAATGAGAGGAGAGGTCAAATGGTGGGCATGGATAACGACGTCTATGGAGGGAGCAAGGCGATGCTAGTCACAGCACTAGGTTCAGGCGGCGCACTGGGTAGGGCAGCGCCAGGCACAGGCAACACCGGAATGGCGAGGGCAGGCGTTAGTGTAGTGAGTGGTCCCCTTAGCTGCGTAGGCGGCACCCTTTGACGTGTGCAGGAGTGTGGCCGCGATGGTGAAGGCTCAGATGGTATCGGCGAGCCAAGCAGCTGGATGCAGAATAGTGGCGCCCTAGGCACAGATAAGTCCGACGATGATGCTTCAGGCAGCGCCCTAGGCGCAATTAGAGCCTCCCTTTGCGAGACCTATTATGAGGGCGATGACAATGGTGGAAAGGGAGATGCCACTTCTAGAGGCGACGCGGAACTAGCTGCTATAGGAGACGCTTAGTCAGGGGCCATAAGTGACGCTGAGCCAGCTGCTAAGGGGTGATGCTAGCTTGGGTGGTGACTCCAACAATCGAGGATCTATCGGTACCAGCGGCTTGAGTAGGGTTGGATATCTGATNTAGCTTGGGTGGTGACTCCAACAATCGAGGATCTATCGGTACCAGCGGCTTGAGTAGTGTTGGATGTCTGACCAGAGGAGTCTTCGGCAAAAAAGGGTTAGGCTACACCGTGGGCACGGACACTGAAACGAAGAGGAAGACCGGCGATGCTAGCAGCACGCTGGGCGGAGCCAGCTACTTTCTGGGTGACCCCTTGTAGGCGCAGAAGAGGCTCCAGGCGCTGGATGTGGGCGATGCCCATGGATAGGTGGTTTGGGTGACGCCAGGCTCCGCTGCTAGTGCTGAGATGCTTGGTAGAATAGTAGACAATCATGAACAAGCGGCCAAACTTTGAATGATCATAACTTTGTGCTTGATTGTCTGTTTAAGGTGAATTTTTTTTTGAATCTGGGTATTTTTTTGAGATCTACGACATACAAATGCTCAAGGTTGTTTGGGCACCAAATTTCCCAAAAAAAAATGCTTCTTTCTCTATGAATTTGAGTTTTAAACACAAATTAGTGAAATCGACGACAGTGGGAGGTTGCACTTTGGCAGGCAACTGTTCGGTATTCATGGGCGATGGGTTGGCGTTCTGAGTTTTTGCCAGAGAGGGAGATTATGATGGCTTTTGGCTATGCTGGTTCTTTATCTTGACCTTGTCTCTGATTACAAACACCCTGTTGATAGAGCGATGATACAACCTCTCTATGCTTTTAGGTTGACGTTTTCCCCTTCTCCCAAGAGGGTGAGGTTTGATGCCCCTAGTGCTTTTTAGCTGACGTCTGATGGCTAGGTTACTTCTCGGGAGTGGGATTCTGTGGTGCCCCCATTCCTTCCCAGATTATGACTCCCGTGTGTATTAGAGCTAGCTCTTGTACTGTTGTGGGAATTGAGACTTTAGTGCGGTCTACAGGGACTGTAGCTTCACATAGCTGCCCTACTTCTAGTAGTGGCTCGGTGTCCATGCTTCGACGTGAATTTGGCCAAGGAGTAGCTTTGGATGTCTGTGACTCTTAGGGATATCAGAGAGGTTGGATCTCGAGGTCCAGAAGGCATTATCAATACTGCGATTGAGGGGTATTCCATGCTATGCCTTTCTTCTCAACTTTGATTTTGTACTTGTCTCATTTCCTTCATGTTCTGCTTTTTGAATGTTTGTAGGTGGCTGTAGCTTTTTCTTGCCTTTTTTCAAGGTCGATCACACTTGGTGAGGCATCTAGGGATCTGGAAAAAGAGAGGTAGGCTTTGAGAGACTGCTGTGGAGCAGTTGAGACTGGTTCATGAGAGAATAACACCTCTTCAAACTGAACTTTTGATAACTCATGAGAAAGACGCTAAGCTGGGGATTGAGGTTGTTTGAGAGCAGAGGTAGGATTACACCAAACTTTCTGGTGACTCGTGAGAGAGTATGAAGCTGGAGACATAGACTGCTTGGGAGCAGAGGTTGGATTAGGCTAAGCTTTTTGGTGACTTGTGAGAGAGCCCCAAGCTGGAGACATAGACTGCTTGGGAGTAGATGTAGGATTAGGCCGAGCTTTTTTTGGTGACTTGTGAGAGAGCACGAAGCTAGAGACATAAACTGCTTAGGAGCAGAGGTGGGATTAGAGCAAACTTTTTGGCGACTTGTGAGAGAGCGCAAAGCTAGAGACATAGACTGCTTGGGAGCAGAGGTAATATTAGGCCGACCTTTTTTTGTGAATCATGCGAGAGCACGAAGCTAGAGACTGATAAGATGACTGTCTGCACGATAGTAAAGTCAGAGTTTCAAGCGTCCCGTGAGAGGGCTGCGAGAGCTGAAGCCAAGCTACCTATAACTCTAGAGAGGGCTGTCATGGCAAAAGCTTATTCCATTGAGATGGAGATGAGGAGGGAGGCTGCTAAAAGGGCCATTGCGGGCACCTTTATTGATGGTTATGAAGAGCTTGACAACTTTTTCTGCTATTGATTTCTCTGGTTTTGTCACATATGAGGCACTAGGGATAGATGGTTATGGAGAGAGGGCCTTGATGATAATGGCCTGGGGAGCAGTGACTGATCGTCAGGAGTATGATGACTTTTATTTTTTTTGTCTACCTTTTTGTTAGGTCATGTTTTGACTTTTGTAAGTTGTTTCCAAACTTTATGAAATAAAAGCAAAACAGTTCTGGACACAATAATCTTCATAGAGTTTTATTTCATAAAATAATAAATAACAGAATAAATCAACTGAAACAATAAAGGACAAATAAAATGAGAGCCACTGTCTTGTACCCGCTATCGATAATAGCTCTTCAGGTGTTCGGCGACCCATAGGTGGGTCAAGGCTTTCCCGTTTTCAGTGTGCTGTCATACCAAACACTTCCACCTAAAGGGTCTCTTGGGGTTTTTTGACTCTCATAAAGGCCACGTAGCATTCTCTGGCAGAGACTTGGTTTCCTCTAACTTCTCCAATCCTACAGAGGGTTGGGAAACAAAGAACAAGGTGATAGGTGGNACCAAACACTTCCACCTAAAGGGTCTCTTGGGGTTTTTTGACTCTCATAAAGGCCACATAGCATTCTCTGGCAGAGACTTGGTTTCCTCTAACTTCTCCAATCCTACAGAGGGTTGGGAAACAAAGAACAAGGTGATAGGTGAACGATACTGCCCTTAAGGTGTTTAGTACAGGGCGTCCAAATATGATATTGTAGGTAGAGGGGTAGTCTAGCACTATGAAATTTACCATGACGGTAAAGCTTCTTAGTGCTATACCTGTTGTGACTGGCAAGATGATGGAACCCAAAGGATAAGCTCTCTCACCCANGTCCAAATATGATATTGTAGGTAGAGGGGTAGTCTAGCACTATGAAATTTACCATGATGGTAAAGCTTCTTAGTGCTATACCTGTTGTGACTGGCAAGATGATGGAACCCAAAGGATAAGCTCTCTCACCCGAAAATTTGATAAGGGGTGTTCTAATGGGTTGCAATCTTTCCCTGCCTAGATGAAGGTTGTCATATGCTAGTGTGAATAGGATGTAGGCAGAGCTATCGCTGTCCACCAGAATTCTCTTAACTTGGTAGTTGGCTACCACCATAGTTAAGACCATAGGGTCATTATGGGGGAATTGGATCCCCTCGAGGTCCCTGTCTGAGAAGGTGATGACCTCTTCTTTCCTGTGCCAAGGTATCTTTGTCAGGTGAAAGTCGTTCAACTCTGCTTGTCTAGCTTTCCTGGCGAAGTTGGAGTCGCTTCCTCCTCTTAGCCCTCTAGAGATAGTCTGAATTTCTCCGAGGGGTTGCTAACATTCTTTTTCATCTTGGTCCCGGCCAGGTAGCAGGGCTTGTCCTCTACTAGCAACGTACTATCTCAACTGGCCATGCTATATGAGCTATTCAATCCACCTCTTGCTCATAGCAGTTATCAGTGTCATGGCCATGGTCACGGTGGAAGCGATAGTATTTGTTCGAATTTCTTCTGTTCAGGGCAGACTTCATCTTTCATGGCCACCCGCAGAATAGGGTCATCCTGTATTTGGAATAGGATATGCTCCACCGAAGCCTTGAGTGACGTAAAGGCTTGCCGCTCCCTCGGAGGTGGGAGACCAAGGCGATCCTTGACAAAGACTCTATCCTATTCCTCTTGTTCTCTGCTTTTCTCATGTCTTCGCGGGTATCCTTTCTTTTCTCACCCCCATGGGAGGACTCATATTATCGGACTTTGGTGACGTCCTCGGCATTCATATACTTCTGTGCCCTTGACAACAATTTAGGCATGTTGGAGGGCGACTTCTTTAGGACGGAGAACATGAAGCTCGAGGAGTGCAGTACTGTAATAAAGGCAGCTATGATTACCTTGTCGTCTGGCTCCTCGATCTGGAGAGCCTCCTAGTTAAAACAAGTGATGTATCTCCTAAGACCTTCATCCCAGTCCTGCTTGATGGTGAACAGGTGGGTAAGCGGCTTTTGGTGTCGACGTCCCCCAATGAAGTGGGAGACGAAGGATTTGCTCAGCTCCGCAAAGAAGTGGATAGAAGAGGGTTTGATCTTCGTGAACTATTGTTGAGTAGATCCCTTCAGGGTAGTAGGGAAGACTCTATACATGATCTTATTCGGCACGTTGTGAAATTGCATGAGAGATTTATATGTCTCAAGATGATCTAGAGGGTCCTTGGTGCCATCGAAGATCTCGATGATAAGCATCTTGAACTTCAAGGATAAGGGGTAATTGACAACATTTGCAACTAACAGGGTGTCAGTTACCTTACCAAATAATCCACCATCTCCGGCGCTTGTGCTTTGATGGCATTGAGGGCATCGCCAAGCTGGTCTGGCACCTCTTTGATCTTCTCATCCCATTGGTTAGGGACATTCTCTGTTGGATCATTGTAGTAGCTTTTATGATCCGCACACTAGTTCTTCCCTCATCCTCCTGCCTAGGATGGTCGACTGCGTATGGAACATGTACATGAGGAGGGGAAACGTGTGAAGCGCCTGTGCGCAATGGGGGGATTCCCTGGCGAGGGGCACCCTGGCGCTGTATAGGGGGTGCCTTGACGTTGGGTGCCACAGTGGGGAGTGCCTTTGGCATCCAGAGTGGGGAGGCCGTGACACTTCTCCAATTGGAGGGAGTACTGTTCCCACAGGCTAAGGGGCGACGCATCTCGAGGCGAGCATCAATTGAATGATTTGTTGATTTTGGCTTGCCAACAATTGCATGGTCTCTAGAAGCTGTTGTCTGACCACCGGAGTTGTTGCAGTGGACGGTTCCGTTAGTGCAGGCGGAGGCGAATCCTCCTTCTAGCGGGCTAGGTTGTTGTCCTCCGGTTGTTGATTCATCACCCTGGTTATGATTGTCATGGATGTGAAAAGAGAATAGTAGTAAAAAAAACTCTGTCATTTTCCACAAATGATGCTAAACTGGTGATGTGCAAAATAGACT